ATTAAAAATTACGATTAATCAATCAATATCTTGAAGCAGGATAACCCAAACCCTAATGAGCTAACCATGAAATTAAATTTTATTGCATTATTGACAGTTAAGGATTAGAATCTTGATGATGTTTGTCATTAAAATTAGCAAAGCACTTAGAACTTCCGGGTTACGGCTGTTACTATGGCAACGTATCCTGCAATAACTGGCGTCCCAGTCATGGTTATACACAGTTTACACCCTTCATGTGATATGGCGGCGCACTTCACACTGAACAACCAAAAAGCACTATAGATTCTTGTCTTTTCTTACAGCGCTAAACCATCTCAACTCGTTCCGAGGTGAATTAATCTACAGATTCGCTTCAATTAATACAGTAACTGTCAATGATATCTTCGGCGGATATCAGCACATATTTATACAGACAAAAACTCGTGGATTTAACCACAATACCGCGTTTTCAAGTTCACTAGTTTTTTAGTGAATTAAATGGCAAGAGCATTAATTAGCTAGGTTAATGGTCTGAAGCCGGGAGATTTATTTATCATAGACTAATTTGGAGATGGAAACACGCACCAACAAATCGAACTATGAAGGCCTTTTTAGAGAAAGTAAATGAGGAAAACGCTTGTTTCTTCCTTCAGATAAAAATAGAAAAGATTTATAATAATATATTGGTGTCATTCATTTTTGAGTCGAATCTGCCAGCTATTTTCTCCACCATTTATGTTGTACTGTAAGGAATTTAACTCATGAATTCTTATAAGCGAATTAATTATTATTAATTCATTCAGGGTTTGAAAGGACTCGAATCTGAAAATTCGAGGTCCACCTGATTAAAGCTGAATTCAAATCTGATAGTTTACACTTTACATCAACGGTCGTCCAGCGAGCCGGTGATGTCAGTATATTTTAACAACTTGAATCTTTGTATTTCCCTGGCCACGGGTAATACGTTCTCTGATAAGTAAGCTACGAGCTAGGTAGCAAGGGATCTTTGGCAAAAGTTTT